CTAACAACATTTATATACGCTCAAAACGACCCAGTTTGGTAGGTAAATGTAGGTAATGGTAGTTATATATACCATCACCATCCATCACCATTGAGCATACATTGATTTCTTGATACTTTTAAATCCACTTACCTCACATCTCCCCATGTTTGATGCTCAAAAATCTCAACTTTTCAGAAGCCAAATCCTAGCACCATTCCCATATGCTCCATCTTTGGCATATTTACATACGAACTGGGTGAATGTTGATAAATATTCCAGCAACTTTTCCAGCACCAGGAACGGCTGGAAAGCACCATTGCCAGGAACCTCCAAGGCCAGCAATTCGCCCTGCATCTTCTCCACTGCTCTAGCCTTTTCACTGCTCTTCCTGCGTCCCGTGCTTTCCTCTTGGCGGATCTCCTGGAAAAAACCACGGAGTTTAAATAGAGATTATCAAAGGGTCAATGTTTCAATCTGACGACTTTTTTTTCGGTAAAATCAAGTGACTTTCGCACGCAATTTTATGGCATCCCATGGCATCCCATGGTGAAGCCCCACCTGTTGCAAGGCTGTGGACCGCTCCATGAATTTCTTCTGTTCCTCGGCTGAAAAAAGGTGAGCCGTGCAATCAATTTCAACTCCAGGGGAGACATGGAGAAAGCCTGAAAAATCCAATCTCAGTGTTTCTCCCCCTTTTTTCTCGATCTATATAGTCGTCTACTAGCAGGTTTTCCATGGTTTTCCAGCAAACTCCGTTGCCTAACCAGGTCGTCTCCAAGTCTCTTTGGCCTCATCTCGCTTGGTGTCGGCCACTTTGGCCCGCAGCTGCTGCACCCGCTTCCTGGGCGGCCCAGCTCGATCCCATGATCCCATGAATTCTTGGCCCTGCAATTTGAAGTGCACCGCAGTTTCAAGGGTCTTTGAAAATTAACACTTAATACAACTTAATACATTTTAATACATTTTAATACATCTTAATACATCTTAATACATGTTTATGGTTCATAATAACTATATACATCAGCTATGAACACTGCCGTTTCAAAATTTCACTTCACAGTTCTTTTCTTCACCCCTTCCTTATCAAAAGGTGATCTTTTTGAGAACGGACTAATCATCACTAGTCCTCAAACTTACTTACCATGGTTCTCATAGATTAGACATGATCACACACACATATATATAGATTATTACTATTATTATTATTTATATATATATGTGTGTGCGTGTGCGTATTATATTATATTATATATATATATATTATATATACTATATGTTTTTCTATTATATTTATCTATCATCAAAATATATCAAAATCACGTTTCCTGATGTTCCGGGTACTCTTATGCCCTCAAGCCCATCCCAGCGTCTTCGCTACAGATTTCTTCCCATCCGCCCGCGGATTGATACTCTGCAGGCGCTGCTTCGAGGAGTGCAACTCCGTGCGCAGCTCCTGCTGCCAGCGCCCCGTTTAGTGCGGAAGACTTTGAAAGTTACCCTCTGGTAATTTAACATAGCTATTGAAAATGGTGATTTATATTAGTGGATTTTCCCATTAAAAATTGTGATTTTCAATAGTTACGTTAGTTTACCAGAGGGTAACGGTGTCCTGAAAATGGTCCTTTAAACACCTTTGAACCAATGTTGGGGGTCCTGAAAATTGTTCTTTAAACTAATTTTGGGACAAGGACTTGTGACGTTTGCCTTCCCAGTTTGAAGAACAGTACGTTTAGACTCGACACCCATGTAGGCCTCTATGCAAAACACAAGCACATTTCATAGAATCATTAGACCAAAACAGGGATAGGACTCTTCCTGTAGCCAGCTTCCAGACCTTGTACTGGAAGATTCTCCTACTGAAATGAGGATTTAACGCCAAAGTGAGGACTTGAGGGACCATCCCTTCCAGGACCCATGGATCTCTCATGTAACTGTTGCAGCCAAAAAGAGTGCACTTTTTCGACCACACACACGCAGTGCCACGCACACGTATGTAATGTATATATATATATTATATATATATATATATGACATCCATAAGCCACATCAACCCATGTTTGACCCAGCTGTTTTTCCAGTCCTCATCCTCCTGTTTTTCACTTTCTTTCAGCTTCTCTTCCCTGAGCTTCTGCTGCTGCGTGCGACTTTGTGACGCCTCAAAGGCCTCGTTCTTGCGGCGCTCCTCGTCCACCTTCGCACGCTGCTGGAAGAGCTCCGGCAGCTTGTGGTACCTGAGAGGTAGCAACAGTAAAGTAGCTTCGGCTTATCCATGTATGTCTCTCTCATGTATTTATTATGTTTTAAAATATATGTATGAATCTGTAGAGGTGTCTAACTAGTTGTTTATTGATCTTACTTGTCTGTATATGCTATCTATCTATCTACCTACCTATCTATTTATTCATTATATTACTATAACTTTTCTTTAACCTATCTAATATATCTGTTGGTCTGTCTATCTCTATCCTTATCTCTATCCCTATAGGCCCTATATGTCTATCTCTATCTCCCTACCTATCTGTATATGTAAGACCTGGATAGATTGTATTCTATATGTTTCTTTGGAGTCCCATACTGTTGGGTTTACTACCAGATTGCTACTAGGGGATCAGATTAGTTTGGGCTCCGGGCTCATCTTTGTCATTCTCTGTCTCTGGGACATCCCCCCAGAAACCCTGCTGTAGTATGGAGCCTGTTCATCATCTTTATAAGGTGTTCCAAATACTTGTCTTTGTTCATCGAGTTTGGCCGCATGACTGTCACTCCCTTGATGGCACCAAGCAGTTTAACTTATGGGATTCAAGTTTGATGGCAGCTATTCACTTTTTCAACACGCCGGCATAATAATGCTTTGTCGCAACTCCAAAAATATATGGGAAATTCTGGGAACCAGAAAGGGAGCCTGCCAAAAAGGCTATCTGTGAAAAATCGCCAAAACTAAACCAGTTGCATGTTTTTTCCTCCCAAGTGCTCTTAAGGATACGGCAGTGAGTCAAAACCTCTAGTCCCAATTTTTTGAGGGATGAACATCCATAAATCCGAGCTTTTTTGAGGTGAACAGAAGTGTGTTAGTTTAAAACTCCCATTAAGTACATTAGTTCATCATAGTTCTATGTAACTAATTGCCACGAACCCTGGTCAATCTAGCTAGTTGCTCCAACTTAGCCATCATCAACAGGAGTCCACCTTAGCTATCCGTAACCGGTGACCCTGGTACTGTAACCATTGCCATGCCACATATCTTGCGCCGCGCGCAGCCTGTAGAGCTTCTTCTGCCGAACCTGTTGGATTTCTTCCTTCACCTTCTGAGTGTCCTCGGTGACGAAAAACCGGAGAAAACCCCAAGGGGTGCCTTGGAATCTTCCACTGTCGTGTGTTATATAAATATTGTAATTTGTTTGTGTGGGTGAACACTTGTTTTTTCCATTTGCCTGGCTCAAAATGTTCGATTTTTACGTCTTCCATTCATTGCGGGTAAAATCCCAATATTCTTTATCATGTTTTGTGGATTAGATCCACATTGCTTGCAGGTAAAGATGCAACCAACCGGTGTCGAACCAAAAGTCAGTTTAGATCTTGTTCACCGACAGAAGCAAAAAAAAAAACATCCTTAAACAATCAGAAAACAATACATGCGCAACCGTATCAATATAACACAATGATTTACGTCTTATTAATTCTTATTCCATGTGTCTGGTACAGTGCGATGCATGTTTGAAGCCACGGCTTCGTTGCAAGTCATTGTGGCTGCATCGAATCGATCGCCAGCATTTCACCACCATTTCACATCATCAATTTACTGGTTTTGACGCATCCAAAACTGGCATACAGCCGGGGAAGGTCCTGGAATCAAAAAATATTAATGCATGTTCCCTCAAACCATCCTTCAGTATACTCAAACATGGCTGAGAAATCCCCGAACAAAAACTGGGTAAAATCATTGAACTGGGGATTTTTACCAACCATGGAGCTGACACGGGCCCCATCCCCTTCTGAGTCCACGCTTCAAAGGTTTCCTTGGACCTCAACTGATCCAATTGCATGCTCTCTTGCTGCACCTGCGCCTCCAAACCACCTTAGAACTCGGCTAGCAAATGGGGCCCACATGGGGAAAAATGCTACTGTAAATTAAAGATTGGGCCGTGGAAATCTCAAATCCAACTACAATAGAACCACTTCCTTTGAGGTTTTGAGGTTTAGATTCAGAATGGAAACCTCCTGGGATATTGAACAGTCTTGTCACTTAAGTTATAGCATCAGGGAATCCATTGGCAATACCATCGTTTTTGGCCTACGAGGATGCCGTAGAGTAACTAAACAGCAACTACTACTAGCCTCCACGATGCAAAAACATGTCTGGTTTCAACGACCCCCTGAAAATGTTGGGATCATCATACACTCCAGTTATATCATCATCTATTCTTGGCATGGACATTCAGTTACAGTAATACTTCACAGTCACGAGTCACCATCAATACAAAATGACCAATGTGCTATTTCCATCTATTTCCCAGTCGAGTCAACTTAGTTTCTTACACCCTTAAAATTTCAATATTTGTCCTTGCAAAGATCCCAAAACGAAGTCCCACCAAAAATCAAAAAAAAAAAACCTTTGCCGAGCACAGGAGAAAGCCACTGACGTTGGCCTGCAACTCTTGGATCTCCTGTCGTTTCCGCACGGCCACCCGCACCACCTCCGTCAGCCTAACCTCGTGGCCGGACGAGGCCACAGTGGCTGCACCTGCCTGGACCAGTGAGGTGTCGATGTCATCCTTCAGTTGGAGCACCTGAAAACATGAGCGGCTCGGGTGGCCAATAACAAAATGGGACCAAACATCCATAAACAACCGAAAAAACTGGTTAACATTAACATACACTAACCATATTATCTTATATTATCTTATATTACCCCCTGCTCACCTGTTGCATAGATACGGTAAAAATGGCCCATGTTTTTCGCTGATTTTACCGTTTTTAGACATGTTTCATTTATGTGAATGTCCATACCTATGGGCTCATGGGTAGTTTTTGCCAATTTCCATGGGTACTTGAAGATAATCTTGGGATGGACTGCCCAGGAGAAGATCCTTGCCCACCATGGCCCACCATGGCCCACCATGGCCCACAATGGCCAAAGCGCCGACGACCCAATTGTACTGAAAATGGCCATGGAAAATTGCCACGCATAAATCCATTTCCCATTAGAACCGTATAAAATAATAACATACAGGATCCGTTACTTTACGGGGCCTTTCCATGGATTTCCACTTGCAATGTTGGCCTGAAGCCATTTTTTCAGTGACACGCTGACGCTCTTCAGCCGCTCAATCACAAGTGGATTGATCGGGCAGTCATCGACCCACCCAAGCAGCTCCGACTCCAGCGCGCACGACTGCGGTCGGAAAGGCTACGACTGGCCGAGCGGAAGCTGAGTGGAACCATATTCGTCACAAGCCTAGGATGGCCGTGCAGAACTGGCTGCCAAAAAGTTTGCCAAGCACTTTGGCACATGCAGGGTTTGATATGTGGGGCTTTCAGGAAGAGAGCACCAAGGAGGAGCTTTGATGGCAGCTCAGGCAAAGGTCACCGGTTTGTTGAACCAATGCGGTGCGATGACTCTGTTGTTGCATCTTGTGATGTTGAATGGGTCAGAAATGGTCAGAAACTTGAAAGAGGAGGACGGCCTACTTATTTCAAGCGAGTGCAAGGCCTTGCAGGTGACCTTGGAATTGCCCGTGGTTTCAGCAGTCTTGGAGTTCGCAAGCCGAGGTCCTCCAACCAGGGAGCTTCCTTGAAAAGAACATGGCGGGCCACAGGATCACCATGCGAATGGAATGCCACAGTTTTGAGTGAGGAGCTCACACATGCCGGTCCGCAAAACGTGAAGGTGCTGTCACGTAAGTCATGGGGGAAGCAAGTTGAATGGTGGGTTGAAGCTACTGCGAAAGACCATGATTTCTTTGAGATTTCTACTGCTTCTCGTTTTGTAGTTGTTATTGCAACCCCAGTTTCCAAGCTGAAACGGCAAACGGTGAAGAAGCTTGCGAGCGGTGAGAGGGTCTTGTTTTCAGATCCACGAAAGATAGAGGAAGAAAAGCCCGGAGTTGTCAAAACGGCTGGAAGGTCTTTTTACATTGGCACGCCTCTCAAACAGAAAGAAGTGCAGGCAACGTTGATTGACTCCACTCCTGGCACTCCAAAAGGTGAATCTATGGGGGGGGAAGCTCGCAACAATAGCGAGAAAAGACAAGGTGAGACGCCTGCCAAAGACAGGCCTACAAAACGGCCGGCGGTGATGTCTAAGCCTCCGCATGGACTCAAAGCCCGCACCAACCCTGGTGCTGGCAACTGCGTGTTTGAAGCTTTGGGTCAGGGATTGGGCCCTGATCAGCCAAAGCCAGCAAGAAGCGTCAGGGCTTCTACCATCAACAATTTGAAACGGCATGCCGCACGTTATCAACCATGGCGGGAACAAAAGGAGCCTACGAGTGAGGAGGGGCCATGTGAATCTTGGGATATTTATTTGACCAAACTGGCCAAGGTTGGAGCATGGGGAGGCAGCACTGAGCTTGGTGCGGGTGGAGTGCACTATGATAGGCCAATTGTTGTTTTTCAGCCTACTGGAGTTCCTGAGATCTACAATGCTCAGGGACAAGCTGGGTCGGCCATCCCTTTGTGGTATTGCAACAGACACTATGAGTTTTTGGAAGGAGCGCTGCCTGATGGCGTTGCACAGCAAGCAGATGCAGGATGGGCGTGGAGGCGATGATGTGGAATCAGCTGCCCTGACAGCCATGACAACGGCCTCTGCTTTACCGTCTGATGCTGGTTGGGGTCGGACATGCGATGCTGCAATGCCTGCACTCTTATCACAAAGCAGACTTCCTCAGCCAAAGCCCTTGCCCAGCTCTTCTACCTCAAAGCGTCTGTCGCGACTGCTTCTCAGGGTCGGGGTGAGGCTGAGGGCAGTTCTGTGAAGGCTGTTTGCGGGCAAGATGTGAAGGAGGACTGCAGGTCGCAGACTGCAGGGGGATCTGGGACTGGATCTTCCAGCCTAGGCAGGCATCTTCGAGCAGGCATGCACTGACCGAAAATGCGGCCTCGGCCTGCATAGCCCTGAGGAAAATAGAGATGACTATGGGTCAAAAACTTTGGTACCCTGGTGGAGAATAGACTCTGAGCCGACTTTTTCATCTGATGGCCATATTTACCCAATTTCCATGGTGTTGATTTTTGACCCATAACTCTCCAAATGATCCAAATGGGTCTTTTGAAGTCTTGATCCAAAACATGCCTTCATCGGAAGAGGTGCCAACGATCGGCCAGCTGTCAACATGAATTAAACTGCAGTCTATATATAAACCCATCTTTTCATAATATGAGAAAACTTGACTCAACCAGTTATTAACCATTATTAACCACCATTTACCAGTTATTAACCAGTTATTAACCAGTTATTAACCATTACTAACCACCCATAATATCAGTGTCACACTGTTTCTCACCATTGACTTTGCGCGGCGCCTGTCGCTGCATGGCATCTGCGTGGTACTCCTCGTCTCGTCCTCGGATAAAGCTCGCGGGTTCCAGAAAGTGCCAACGGTATTTTGCAACTCCCAAAAGAAATGCACACAACAACAGAATCCGATCCTGAAAATAGTGGTGTATATATATATAATGTAAATAAATGTAGATATTAAATTATTGTTTCTCTCTCTTTTTGGGGGGGTTACTACACCTAGTCTGCAATGTGACAATCGTCGACTGGAATGATTGTAAGAACATGTGATACGCGTCAATGTCAGTGGAAATTCTGGCACATGGAGAGGATACATCCTCTTAACATACCTAACAAGACGGTACCAGCCGTCAAAAGTGTGTTTCAATTGCTGCGGTTTTGAGGGATGCCGCATCTGAATGGTAAACACAGGTAAACACCATGGTTTCCCACACATTTTGACTGCAACCCGTCCATTGCTCTTGCCATTCTGCAACTTAGTGACGCTCTTGCTGCTGCAGCTGCACATGGTTCTCATTTTTTTGCAACCGCTGCTTTCCTTCAGTCAGTTCCTGCCCACATCTTTTGACCAACCTTTGGTCGGATGCAAAGGTTGCAAACACTCCAAAACTTCTCTGCCAAAAAGCCTACGGTAGCTCAAGACCCAAGATGGTCAAACTCAAAAGAATACTGAATTCTTGTTTTTGATTTTTGTTGGTTCTCCTATTTCAATGCAAAGCGGCGCATGGGGCTCATGCTACCTCCCTGTGCCTAAAACATCCTAAAACAACATCCCCAGCCTAACATCCCTGTAGCGGACAGCTAATGCTTGTCCATGTCACCATATTTTCAGTTTTTTTGTTGGCCCAAAGGTGAACGAGCTAAACCATTAAGGTGTTTAAAACCCGATCAATGCGTTAAAAATATGAATATATATATACATACATATAGTAATAGTGGTCTATGGCCAAGGATTTATTCTGTCACACCTATTACAGACACAAACATGGAGCCCAACAATTGCAATTTCCAGAAGATGCGACCCATTTTCGGGGGTCGCACTGTTAATTTTGGGGGATGGCGTAGTATCCCCATCTAAATGGCTAAAAATCCGACCACTTGGTACCCCAAAAACCCTCTGGTTTATCATCATGTTTCCCATGTCATTTTGGCTTGGGGCATACCATCCCCCAATTGACGTAGACCCTGGCAAGCAAGGGAGGGTGTAAGATTAGTTCACTAAAAATTGCCTATTGTCAGGGTCAAACTGTTAATTTACTGGAGGGTAATGTGGTAAACTGGCCAACCCCATGTATCATAAACCATCCCCAGTAGGTTTATAGCTTTGGTTGCCCACATTTCTCTCTCTCCATCGCCATCAGTCAAGACTGCCACCCTCCGGTAATCAAACATGGCAATGGCAAATGATCCATTTATAGATGATTTTCCCAGTAAGACCTCTATTTTTGCCCGCAGAACCTAACGTTCGCCCATGATGACAATATATATCTCATTCTTCCCACGGTTTTGACACATGTTTCATCCACGGTTCTAACCACCTTGCAGGGATGAACGGTACACTAGGTGTGGCCCCTCGCCATGCGTACGACACAAAATTTGCTTCATGGCTCATTTCACAACAATTTGCGGCAACAACCCTTCGCAGACTTCGTGGGGGTCCGTGGAAAGAAGGGCCGTTTCGTGCGAGAAAACTCCGGGCAACCGTACGGTTCTGTGCGTATTTTTTGCCTATAATTTTCGCCCTTGCCACCTTTGATTACCAAAGGCTGTGGCTAAAACAATGCCATTTTTACCCATGACTGGGGGTAAAAATATACCCTCTGGCTATTTAACATAGCCATGGAAAATGGTCCATTTATAGATGGTTTACCTATTAAAAATGGTGATTTTCCATGGCTATGTTAAATAACCAGATGGTACCACCTATAAAAATGGTGATGACTGGGGGGTGGTTTTCCTCGCCTCCTGGTCCCTGCGCTGCATCTGTCGCAGATCCGCCAGCTGCTCCTTGGCACCGCGCAGCGCGGTTTCCTCGTGCACTTGGAGGACGGGGAGATAGGTGGAGCTGACGCGAAACTGGGGATGACCCATAGAAAAAATGGAGAAACATGGGGATATCATGGGGGGAAATCAATGATATACACAACAAAATTCTGGGTAAACACATGGGATACTTGGTTTTAGCTGGGTTCACTAGGGTTATTTAATGGATACATGTATAATATAATATATATATATATTTAATAATAATAATAATCACACATATATATATAATCACATATATATATATATATACGTATGTATATAAAGTGATGTATCTGCAATTGGATAGGTACAGCATGACTTGGTGGCGGCCTTCTGCAGGGTTCATCAGAGGGTCACCATACATCGGTGGAAACATGGTTTCTTTTCGAAATATTCGTTTGAATCAAGCGGGTGAGATAGCACCGTGGAAATAACAAGGAACCAAAGTAAGTAAAGAATAGTGATAATTGTGATACCTTCTGGTAAACTAACATAGCTATTGAAAATGGACATTTATATATAGTTGATTTACCCATTCAAAATGATGATGTTCCATAGTTTTTGGTACGTTTACCAGAGGGCAATCATGAAGAACAATGAATATGTTGACAACAGTCAAAATCACAAGATCCATCCATGTGGTCAATCTGCTCCAGATGCTCCTTGGCAACTATCGCTAATATCATCAGATCCTTCCTCTTAAAGAGAGGTGACTATGGGGAAATGAATGTCGAGTTGACAACTCCACCGTGTACACCTCTGAACCATCCACCAACTTTGATCTGGGGAGAAAGAGCTTTTCAAAGTTAGCTGAAACATACGAGTGATCTGTCATGGTTTTCATATGGGAAATCATTTCCCCAAAAGAGTCGCTTCACTTTTTCAATACGAATCGCTTTTTTTGAACTGGCCATGGAGCTGGCAACCCGCAAAAAACTCACCTGAGCACTTCTTTCGGGTGAAAAATACCTGGAGCATGGCCCCCTTTTGGCCGCCAACACTCATCAAAGGTCGGACCGTCCTAATAGATTTAAAGAAACGTGTTTCATGAAACGGTGGTTTTAAATGTTCTATTATCATCTATAGTATCCAGTCATTATAAATGAACAGTCATTCTTTTGGACATTCTTTTGGACAATCAACCGCGACATTCGTGGCCCACTACGGCAATCTACGGCCAAAGGGCCAGCTGTTCCACATCCTTTTGGTACTCCTCTGCTTGCTGCTGGTACTTGAGCTCCAGGCCATGATCTGCAGCCACTTCTTCCTTGGCCTGTGCCTGCAAAGTGCTGACCTGCGTACGTGTTTTTTTAGCACAGGGAGATGGTGGGTAGGTCGTTCTTGGAAGCGGACATATATCTGTATACATCTGCATCAAAAACCCTATTATTATAAATCAAATATAAATCATATCATATATCTCTAATGAAATCTATGCATGTATGATATATATATATACGTGTGGAATGGCACGGATACACAAGACCAACTATTAATCCGGACACCTCCATAATTCGGCGCAATTCTTTTGTCAGCACAGGATGAAAAGAACCCACCTTCTTCCATTTACCCTCTGGTAATTTAACATAGCTATTGAACATGACCATTTATAGTGGATTTTCCCATTAAAAATGGTGATTTTCCATAGTTATGTTAGTTGACCAGAGGGTATAATTGCAAGACTGTATCACTATTTTGGGAAACCCCCTTATTGATCCTCGTTTCACATTGCCATATTACAATGTATTACAACCATAGGCAATTACCAAGAATTACAGTAGCTGACCATTCTAGAAAATACAACCCAGTTGCCGTTTCCAATGAGCAATCTTAGAGACCTACAACAAAAAATAAAAAAAAAAAAAAACATCTTTTAGCTCGTTGAGTAGCTTAATATATCCCCATGTCACATGTGTAGGCAAATGTACTACACATCCAAGGTGATTAACCTGGTCGACCCATTTCCTGCGCTAAAGGCAATGCCATAAACCAGCACCGGAAACCATGACTGGGGTCGTTGTAGCTAGTTCTATCCAACTTTCATAAACCTCAAACTTGGTTATGGTGACGGCATTGTGGTAAAGGCTTTACCACATATCCCAATGAAATCCTATAATATCACCATTTTCCCCACTATAAAATCCCATTATATCCCCATGATATCATCATTTTCTGCAACTTCATTGATCCCACTGTCAGATCGTCTGGGCCATGTCACTGCCCTTTGGAGCTCCGCGATCTGCCGCTGTTTCTGGGCCAATTGGCTTTGCTGTGCCTGCACCGAATTGTGATACCTATTGGAAAATCACCTGCAGTTAATGGTAGTCAAGCGATCCACCATCCCCACATGTATGTAAGCTTTTTGGGCGGGATTGAAACCATCAAACCAGTGGTTTATTGCTTTACTAACATTAAACATTATATTATAATTATTGGGGTGCAATCCCTTGCAATACGCTATATACAATGTATGTTTATGGTTTATGATCTGGTTGGTGGTTTTAACCATCTTTAGAAATATGAAAGTCAATGGGAAGGATTATCCCATATATTATGGAAAATAAAAAATGTTTGAAACCACCAACCAGTGATGGTTTAGGATTTTACCTCAAGGTACCTCAAACAAACTTCTCAAATATTACTGGATAATGATCACCCCGCCATACAATAAACGCCCCTACCTGAGACTGTTTCTGCGGGGTGTTTATAGCCCGGAGGCGGTTATATGTGTAAAACATGCTGAAACCAAGTGAAGAGAAAACAACAAGTTTATGAACAGTTTATGTATGTCATCCTTCACGGGATTTATGAAACTTCAGATTTTTTCGTCACTGCTTGGAAGCTGGAAAACCCACTGTTGGAGGCTTCTGATCCATACTGCGAATCACTGATACCATGAACCATGACATACGGGCGTGTTTTCAGGAAGCCTATAGGTCAAGCGCCAAGGGGTCCTCAAATCTAAGAAACGATTTCATAGGGGTCAGGGGGAGAGCATCTATCCCTGACTGGGCTAAGGCTCACCCCATCTGAAAATTGTTGCCGCGTTTCCAACACAAGGCTTCCTGAAAATTCCAGCCCAAGCAACAACTCTCCTTCCTTGTGGTTGGTAAGCATCTCCTATTTGAGTTTTTTAAATCCCTATCGATTTCCGCCTATTGGATTGGTTGATCTTAAAACTCCATAAAAAAATCCCATTTTTTTGACAGTGAAATTCCAAGATTTCACAATCCCAGTACTGCATATCCCCATCAAATGAGCCAGTTTCAGAATTCTACATTCTATAGATATCCCATATATCCCATATGATCATCATATTATGATTGGTTCAATATACTATATCATATAATGTTGGATGGACAATAGTAAAGCGCGTGCAATAGCTACAAATAATTTTCAGAATCTGATTTTTCAGCCCCTATTGATTTTAAATTAGGCCTTATTGATTTTAAATTACAAACATCAACCTTGGTCCAGAGCATCTGCAATAAATGTGGTTCATTCGCAATAGCTACAAATAATTTTCAGAAAATTCCCAAATTATCAGACTTTACAATACTAAATTGCAAAGGAGCTAATTGAGATTTAGTATGGATGCAGGAAAAAAAAAAGAACCAGTTACAGTTCAGCTGTATTTTTTCCCTTCTTCCTTAGTGTTTTTAATTGTGGTTGAATGGTTTTAAATTGTGATTGCATGCTTTTCAAAAGCAAAAAAACAAAGCAAACCTTTACCAAATCAAAAACTTTACCTTGTTCAAAAAAGCTGTTTTCTTTATTAAAATCCTTTAAAAAATTGCAAAAAACAGGTCCACAAAGGGTACCCCCTTGCAGGTCCTTGCATTTGCAATTAAAAACTGGAATTAGCACTTGCAATAAGAAACAACCTTCCTGGCTCTAGCAGGCATTTTTTTTCCCTTCTTCCTTAGTGTTTTTAATTGTGGTTGAATGGTTTTAAATTGTGATTGCATGCTTTTCAAAAGCAAAAAACAAAGCAATCCTTTACCAAATCAAAAACTTTACCTTGTTCAAAAAAACTGTTTTCTTTATTAAAATCCTTTTAAAAAATTGCCAAAAACAGGTCCACAAAGGGTACCCCCTTGCAGGTCCTTGCATTTGCAATTAAAAACTGGAATTAGCACTTGCAATAAGAAACAACCTTCCTGGCTCTAGCAGGCATTTTTTCCCTTCTTCCTTAGTGTTTTTAATTGTGGTTGAATGGTTTTAAATTGTGATTGCATGCTTTTCAAAAGCAAAAAACAAAGCAAACCTTTACCAAATCAAAAACTTTACCTTGTTCAAAAAAGTTGTTTTCTTTATTAAAATCCTTTTAAAAAATTGCCAAAAACAGGTCCACAAAGGGTACCCCCTTGCAGGTCCTTGCATTTGCAATTAAAAACTGGAATTAGCACTTGCAATAAGAAACAACCTTCCTGGCTCTAGCAGGCATTTTTTTTCCCTTCTTCCTATCAGAATCCAATGAAGATCCCATCAGAGCCCATCAGAAAAGAGAGGATTTGTCAAAACCTTACAGAAGCCTTTGGGGAAGAGTTGGGATTTTCGATTTACTATTGCAAAGCAGACCCCCCTAAAAAAAATTAGGGGGGACCCCCCTTTACTATTGTCGATGTAACATTAGATATCCATAAATATCCTACTACTGCTAATATTCGCTCGCAATTATCTAAGCGTTATCCCACTGTATCCGCATTACATCCCTATGATGTTCGGCAAAGATCCCCGTGATCTGCTATGACTCATGGAAATTGATGCCAAAATCCCAATGCTTCACCATTTTTCATAGCAAATCACCCAAATTAAGCCATGTCTGATGTTTCAAGCATTTCAATTCACCATGTTTCATGTTTAAACCCGAATGTTTCACAATTGTTGACGGTTAACACCCCATGTTTTATGCTTAAACCATATGATACCAACATTTTCCATAGCAGCACCAGGTTTTTTCGCCCTCCGGCAGCCCAGGGCCGTGCCTGAAACATCTCTTCCTGTTGCGTGAGGTTCTGCCGCAGCTCCTTCACACGCACCCCGGCGGCGGCGGCAGCGGTCCTGAGGGCAGCTGAGGGCAGCTGAGGGATGGTGGGGTGATCTATCGATTTCACCATTCACCAGCAAAAATTGTAATTTAGCAGCAAAAATCTTGGGATTTCACACCAAAAACTGGGATCTCAAACAAACATTGAAATTTCACCATTGAAAATGCTGACTTGAGAAGGGGTGACACGAAAGGTAGTTGTGTCAGACGTTATAACTCTGATTGTCGTTGTGATGTGACTCCAGCTTGGGTGGTTCATGAACCGTGGACGGGCATGAAACTGGACATAGCTGAACGGAGATATCTGGATCCGAAAAGAGGGCACCCCACGATTGCCATGGTTGATCATCACTTAGTCTATTTAAAGAGCCATTTGGAGGTATATTGTCTGACACACGCATCGTGCGGGGAAAAAAACCACGGTCAGTGTTAGCACAAACCCCAAAGTCGCTTTTGCGGTACCTATGGATGCTCGAACCTGTCACTTTCATCGCACCGTTGGGTACGGGGCAAATGGATGTCGAAAAATCCGAATTGCAAGTCGAATGATGAGGATGATGATGATGATGATGATGAGGATGAGGATGATGACGATGATGCTGATGATGAGACACTGCGAAGGGGCTGCTGCGTGAAGAGACGCACAAGGCATGTGACGAGAGTTCACTTGGGGGGGGGGCATGGAACTGGACATTCAGAGCAGAGCGGAGATATCTGGATCCGAAAAGAGGGCACCCCACGATTGCCATGGTTGCTCATCACTTAGTCCATTTAAATAGCCATTTGGAGGTATACATTGTCAGACACACGCATCGTGCGGGGAAAAAAACACGATCAGTGTTAGCACAAACTCCAATGTCTCTTTTTGCGGTACCTATGGATGCTCGAACCTGTCACTTTCATCGCACCGTTGGGTACTTGGAAAATGGATGTCGAAAAATCCGAATTTCAAGTCGAATGATGATGATGATGATGATGGATGATGATGATGATGAGGATGATGACGATGACTGATGATGCTGATGATGAGACACTGCGAAGGGGCTGCTGCGTGAAGAGACGCACAAGGCATGTGACGAGAGTTCACTTGGGGGGGGGCATGGAACTGGACATTCAGAGCAGAGCGGAGATATCTGGATCCGAAAAGAGAGCACCCCACGATGTCCATGGTTGCTCATCACTTAGTCCATTTAAATAGCCATTTGGAGGTATACATTGTCAGACACACGCATCGTGCGGGGAAAAAAACACGATCAGTGTTAGCACAAACTCCAATGTCTCTTTTTGCGGTACCTATGGATGCTCGAACCTGTCACTTTCATCGCACCGTTGGGTACTTGGAAAATGGATGTCGAAAAATCCGAATGTCAAGTCGAATGATGATGGTGATGAGGAGGATGATGATGATGATGTTGATGATGACGATGATGGTGATGATGATGATGATGGTGATGATGACGAGACACTGCGAAGGGGCTGCTGCGTGAAGAGACTCACCAGGCATATGGCGAGAGTTCCCTTTGAGGGGGGGGGTCCCTTTCTCCTGGTCGTTCAAGGATAAGGGGACCAGCCCGCCCCTTTGCTTCGCAAAGTAAAACTCAAGGTAGCCCGCTAGGAGGCTACCTTTCGTGGTCTTTTGAATAGTGAGTTAGTGGTTCATTAGCCATTTGTCTAAGTTACATGGGGAGAAGGGAAAAGACAAATGTGTATATATATATATATATATATGTGGTATATAAGGTATACAGTATACGATATATATATATATATTTTGATATATGTGTATATATATATATATGTATATATATATATATATGTAGTGGTGAAAATATCATGTATATTAATCAATTCAAGAGGTATCTACCTATATTATATATATTTTATATATATTGTACCCAATGGTATTCTACGACAAACAAGAGACACTTGATACATGTGCCCAACTCAAGCAACTATATGGTTTTGATCATCAAACACATGTAAATACAAATGCAACAATGATATACGTTTGAAAAATTGGTCAGTGTATGTCAGTGTCATGGCATTTATTTAGGGCATGGCATTGCTGTTGCCAAGTGTTTCGTAGTCTTTGAGGGTCACGGTGGACAGGGTAGTCCATGAATCATCATTAATCCATATATATATATCTCTCTCTCTCTCTCTCTCTCTCTCCATTCTAGGTGTAATCACTGTATATGATTCAATACACATCTCTAAAAACTCAGACTTTCCATTGCGTATCGTCCCCTTCCCTTCATCTCAGCATCTCTTCTCGCTTCACCTTTTGCGCCAGCGCCAATCGCATGGCCTCCGACGTGTCTTCCGTCGCGTCCGTGGGCGTGGGCTCGGCGCGGTGGTGCCGCAAGAGGCCGAAGCTGTTGGAGAGGACCTGGTCCTTCTTGGCGCCATCTTCCAACCTCTGGGGAGATTTTCATGGGAGATTTCCCAAGCAACTGATGTTCTTCCGGAGATTTCATGGGAAATTTCCCAGGCATCATGGGATATTATTGAAGGCTTTATTTGATTCTATGCCTGTGATGTTGGTAAATTCTTGGCCGCGGGTAAGTTAACGATATGGAAATCCATGGTGTGCAAAGTAGATTTGAAAAATCCGTGTTGGCTTACTGGAGGATAACTGTAATATTTGAGATGAGTGCATATCAAAACACACACACACACACATATATTTATATATACAGTATATGATACAAGGTCATACATGATCTAGAAAGGTCATACATGATCTAGAACCGTTTTATTTTACTGTAAAATTGGGTGCATCAAACAACATCATGCTTGTTTTGGGCTTACGGGCGAAACAAAAATATTGAGGCATTTTTTGGGCGGCAGTAGCGAAGCGTGATGAACAGCGAGTGGGTTTCCCACAAACATCAGGATGCTAGCAGGAGAATATAAGTAGCAATTGGTTGGTGCAACCTCTAATAATATACACACATGTATTCCCATACATTTTCATACCAGCCTTGATATACATAATATATATATATATGTATATATATATATGTATGTATGTATGTGTATATATATATATATATATATATTATATGTATATATATATATACACATACATATATATATATATGTATATGATTGCATATGTGTGTGTGTGTGTGAAAATCCATTTTCACCCACCTCTACCCTGCTATACCACGTTCTACCCTCCTGACCTCTTGACTAGCCTCAGGAACACCGGGATGTGTTGGAAGCTGGTTATCGAACCAATGATTCAATGGGAAGCACCCATTTCCATCGATCAAAACTTTGACAAACATGATTGATACATATATTGCTGCAGTATGGTACAGTATGGTTAGTAATTACATGATATTACATGGACTGGTCTACATCCCATGATATCCCACTTCCGGAAGGCATTCTCTAAGCATTCACGGTCAAGCCACCTGGCGCGTGTGGAGCTTCGCAGCTGTCGCAGGTACATCTCCAGCTGCTGCAAATCCTCCGAGACATCTTTCAGCTGCTTCTGGGCCTTGGGCCAGGCAGGTTGAACAGGTCATGGTAAAGCAGCTTGAACTCAAACTCCATGGGGTTGATGATTCATGCTACCCTCTGGTGAACTAACATAGCAATGGAAAATCACCATTCTTAATGGGAAAATCCACTATAAATAGCCATTTTCCATTGCTATGTTAGTTCACCAGAGGGTACTTGTTGACTAAAAAGATTGCCTTAAGAAATCCTAACTAGTCTAGACTAGTCTAGTGATGAACTAATTTGCCTTTGGAATAGTTACCCCTACAATGAAAATTCTCATGGTTCCAGTAACGTCTCAACGTGATGTCATTGCAAGTTGTCCAGATTCTTCCCATCATATCCCCTGTAAAATATCCCAGTGTTGAGTTGTAACATATCAATCCCACCATCCCACTGTTGCTACCTCCAGGAGGTCCCTAGGTGCCATCCCAGGTGCTTCATGATGCTCCACGGAAACCTCACGGAGTCTTCGCAGACTTTGGAGCTGAACTTCATTGGAGGCAGCGACCTCAACGTGGGATGTTGGGAGCTCCTGGGGCTGCATATTCTTTTGTGTAACTGGCATTTTCCGATAGGAACCCCCATCCGCTTTCCATGGTTCAACCACATATTTCCACATGTGTTTTCCACATCGTCGGTTTACCACAGGGTAAACGGCTAAATCCTCAGGATTTTTGGGTGACCGAGACACCGCCCAGGGCAGTAACGCCAGCACCAAGCGGTTTCCCAACCGCCGCATGGCGGCAGGCTGAGCCGAAAGGTCGGCTGCGGAACCCGTGTTGATTATGAAATATTGAACGCAACGACTACATAGACTACACACACATATATATATATATGTATGTATATATATATATATGACTATATATATATATATATGACTATAGGAAGTATGAGAGACACTAAAATGCAATTGGGAAATACAACAGTGTGATTACATTTGTTTGGAAGAATGAAGAGTTCATACCATGAACAAAACAACTATGTATCAAGTATGATAATTAATGATAAAACATGGATCCTTGAAAAAAAAAGCTGAACAAAAACACCGAACACCATACCCATGTATCACCCTTTGTTTTGGGGATGTATGATTCATTTTTGTTGTCATAAAATGAGGTTTTGGCCCAATACCTTCCGGTGGTAAACCCGAGTCGGCCAATAATTGGGGTGTGCACACCATGGCGTTTCCAGCTTGGCTATTTCCTCCTGTGAAAGGAGGCTTGTTTACAGGTCATCTGACTACTCTGCACTGGACAGATCAAGGTACACGATGTAAGCTTCATGGCTTCGACATGGAAGTTGAAATCACCACCAAATTTCCCTTGCAGGTTCATTTGACTTGTTATGGATTGAAAGTTGATGCGGCAGCCGAAACTGTGATGCACGTGTCTTCCGACACGCAATGTTGCGAGTGTCCCATGCAACACCATCCAGAACGCACGGTGGTGGAGCTCTGTGCAGGTGTGGGAGGTATCGGTTTGGGGGCCCTGACATGCAGGTTCAAGATTCTTGCGCAAGTGGACTCCAATTGGTTGTCTGTTGAGCATCTTCGTCAGATGGGTCATGGTTTGACAATCCATGGTGACATCACTGACGATGCGACACTGCATGCCATCCATGTTGCATGTCCTGATCAGATAGGAATTCTTGCAGCCGGTTTCAATTGTCAACCGTTTAGTGTCCAAGGGGACATGAGGGGTTTGTTCGACAACAGAGCTTCCAGCTTTTGGGGGACCCTCCGTGCCTCCTTTTTGTTACGACCTCAGGGTTTGCTTCTCGAATGTGTCCCGGGGGCAGGCCAGTGTTCTCAATTGCGTGCTGCACTGAATGAGCTTTTGGATTTGATGCAATGGCAAGCCATTGAAGTGACATTTGATTTGGCTTCGCAGTGGCCCAATTGTCGTCGTCGTTGGTGGTTGTTTGCTTTTCCAAAGACCATTTCATCCATGCCTATTCCTGCTTGGCCCATTGATCATCGACACCAGTGTATTTGCCAAATCATCCAAGACTGGCCGTTTTGGAATGCTGACGAAGAAAGCCAATTGGATTTGACATCAGAGGAATTGCAGGCATATCTTGTGGACTTTGGTGAACCAAACCGAGTGGTGAATATGACTGATCCATGCCCAACTTTTTTGCACAGCTACGGCAACAGCACCACCAGTTGCCCATGTGGTTGTCGCTCAGGACCATTTACCATGTACAGGCTCCGTAGCAGAGGATTGAGAGGATTCATGGTAATTGGCAGTAAGGGACAGATGCGATTCATGCATCCGAAAGAGATGGGCTTTTTGTTGGGTTTTCCTGGTGATTTTCCAACTGCCGCACATCTGAGAGCCACCATGTGCATGCTTGGTCAATCAGCCTCGCCTTTGCAATCCAGTTGGATGTTCCATCACATTGGCCAGATCCTTTTTCAGGACACACCTACTGATCCAGTTGCTCACATCAACATGATGAAGGAAAAGTTGTGTTTTGAAAAGTATCACACGTGGCCAGTTCCAGGAACATGTGGACAATTTCATGTCACATTGCATACTGCTGACGAAACCCCAATCAAGCTTTGGGCCACTGGTCCAACCCCGGCTCAATCCCTTTTGCAGGCCAGTCGAATGCAACTTGATTGGGGGCAAAAAGTAGTGCTCATGGATGGAAGTGTTCGAGTGCCTCCAGATGCCTTACTTCGTCAGGAAGGTTTCTATGGTCCATATCAGCTTTTGCAATCTCTGAAGCCCCAGGCTTTGACCAAGTCTGAAGGTGAAATCATGCTGGCCTTCACAGGTCTTCGAGACTTTGTTGTGGTCACCAGAACGGCAGGCACCTTTTTGTTTTGCGTCATGCACGATTTGGATCTTATGCCCACTATGCACATAATCACAATTGGTGACAGCATTGTAGCTCCGGATGCGCGTTTGTGGAACAGTCATGTTTTGCATGTGCACGGCATGGGGGAAACAACTGGGACCACCTTTGGACTTTCTTTGGATTTTCTTCACACCATGATGAAATGGATGGTCAATCAGATTGCACGGCCTGTGGACTTTGTGCTGCATGGATGGATTTTTGGTTCAGGTGCGTGGACTTCCTTGTTTGGCCCTGGTCATGTGTGTGATGTCCCATCAGGTGTCACCCATTGCTGTTGCCTTTTGTTTCGGGCACATTGGATCCTGCTGACTCTCCGTGTTGGACTTTCTGTTGAGGGCGTCCCCACACTTCATGCGGCTTTCTGGGATGGTCTTTCTGTTCCCTGTGTGCCTCCACAGGTCATGGACTTGATTTCTCTTTATGCAGACGCCTGGCAAGTGACGCAGGTCAATGTGGACATCTCAAGGGTCATCATGCAACATCAGCCTGCATCCTGTGGAACCGTCATGCTAGGGCATTTTGGACTTGTAATTGGTTTTTTAGACCCAGCTCGAGCGTTGGATTTCGAAGAGCTGCATGCCCAATTGGTCAGCCAAGATCAGCATTTGCTCTATCAGCAGAGATCCGAGCACATCGGATATGGCAAAGACCAACAATTGCTTGCACGTTTGAGCGCCATTTTGGTAGAGCATGGAGTCCCACCAGACCGAGTCGAGGAAAGGGCCACCATGGGCTTGAAAAAGGTAGGTGCAGCTGAGTTAGCAGCAGCCCTGGACTCCAACAATCCATGGGCATATCTGAAAGCCATCGGGTCACGCCCTCATGTGGCATTTCATTGGCTCAAAGCTGACGAGCTGCAGCAAAAGGTTCGTGAACGTGCCGAAAGCAAATTCAAAATCCAACACAAGCCGAAGACCACCAAGCCTACCAAGAAAGAAGGCCAAACTCCTTTGTGGCTTGATCCGGCCCAATTGCAAGTAGTTTCAGGGACTTTTTATGCCCAAGACTGTGAAGTCAGCCAGATTCCCTTCACTGAGGTCACCCGTGATGCCAGTGGTCTTGCTTTTTGTTCGGTTGCTGAAGCCATTCCTTTCTTGCGTGAGGGGAAATCGTTGAGTGACAAGCCTTTAGGGATTTTGTGCACCACGCCGGTACCCAGTGATCAAATTGGCACCATGAATGTGGTTCATCTCCGATACCCGGCTCAGTTTCGTGGCACCAATGAACCAATCCTTGTGCAGGGTAGTTTGATTCAGCTTGGGGCTCCACAGATCACTAGAGGTAGCTCCTCCCTGCCCATTTGTACCTTGGCTAGCATCCCAACACAGACATTGCGATTCTATGTGTTCCAGGATCAGTGGGAAGGGAATTGGAAGGAGTTCAGTGAACAACCAGTCCGTGCGCTTTTGACCAGATTTCCGAGCCTCTCACTGTGCAAGAAGAAGGCCAATTGTGGCGAATCATGTCCAAACTACCATGCAGCAGTTGATGAACCATTGGACAATCTCATCATGGATTTGTGGGCTAGGAGCTGGCACAAGCTTGACTCTAAATACACCAAACCCATGGATGCCAGCTACTGGAGTGTGCTTGTACGTGTTCCTGCTAGTGCACAACTGACGATTCAAGGTCTTTCAGGTCATGGAGGCTTTTATGTGGAACCCAGATCTGATTCCGGCAAATCCACGGATGAACGTTATGGCATGGTATGGTTGGGTGAATTGCCGTTGCAAGAACTCACATACAAGCTCAAGACAGTCCCAAACGCAATTGCCATCGGACGCTTGCGAACCAAATTAGGACTGAGATTCCAGCAGGCACATCTTGAGGAAGCCACCAAAGCTTTGAAGCCAGAAGAGCCATACATCGAAACCCAAGTCCATCAAATCTACAAATTGTATCCACTGCCATATGGAACTCAGAAGGCAGCTTTGCAAAAGTGTTTGACAGACTGGGGATGGATGGCTCGTGTTCGACAGTCCATGGGAGGAGGATCTGCAGGTGTTGCCTGGGAAGTAGGTTCAAGCAAGGAACCACCATCAACAATTTTGCCCCAACCATCCGGAGATGTTGCCATCACATTGATCCGCACAGTAGGCAAGACAGATGCGCCACCAGCTTTGCTTGCTTCCGCCAACACGAAGAAGTTCATGCAGAAGGCACAGCCCACTGCCACCACCAGTGATCCTTGGACCCACCCAGGTACTGACCCATGGTCGAGCAATCCATGGGGGCATTATCATGGGCCCAGCAGTTCGGCTCCTAGAGCCTCAGACAAGATGCAACAGTTGGAGGATCGACTGAAACAGCAGATGACTGCACACATTGCGGCCTCGACTGATGCCACAATGAGCCAAGACCATCCGGAGTTTGAGGAATTTCGAGCGGAAACACAAGAAAGGATGGCCAAGATGGAGTCCAGCATGCAAGAGCTTCAGGCACAAGGACAGAAGTTTGAAGGCTGGTTCACACATCTCAACCAAGCCGACCAACATCTTGCAGCACAGCTGGACATCACCACGCAACAAGTTGAAACACAGGGACATCGCATCGAACAGATCAACAAGGACATGAATCAGCAGGTGGGGACATTGCAAACGGGCCTGAACAAAGTGCAGACAGATCTTGATTCAGGCTTTAATCGCATTGAAGCCTTGCTGGAGAAACGCAATCGCACATCTTGACTAGGTCAGGCCGGCTCCATCAGAGGATGGAGGCCGGTTTCATGGACTTTTGCCAGATGCCTTTGGTTTTTCTGGCATCTTCTTTTGCCAGCGTCATGCTTGCAGCTCGGGCTTCTTGATGAGGCCACTTCCTTGAGCGCTCGGACTCATTTTGTCAGTTCTGCTCCAGACATGCTTTCAGATTCGGATGCACTTCCCTTTGCCCAGCACTACTT